TGGACAGATTTTGATGAAATTTGATATGATGATAGCTGGTTTTCCAGGTCAACATATAGGATACTTTTTACTTCGGGAAAATATCTCATCTCTGAGCTAAACTTTAAAACGTAACTCGGACGAACCCGAGTGGAGCGAGGGTGAGTTGCTAGTCATATATATAAATTTATAGTCCCGAATAAACCTTAGAGCAAAAGAATAGCTGCATAGACATTTTAAAGTCAAGTGAAGCTTTATAGTAAAAAAAGTTAACATATATGCTAATCAAAACTAAAATCACATCGATGCAATGCTCTTATTATGATCACGTGAAAGAAGTACCAACCAACCAAACCAACATATACGTATAATATAATATTATTTATTTTAAACGAATGCACAAGTCTAAAATAACATTTCCATACTAATACTGTCAAATCAAAATGAACCCAACAGCCGGGGCGTTGATCTGTTGAAACCTAATAAATCTAGATGCTACACTGTGTTCACAATCAAAGTGGGAGATAAAATCGATTGTACGCCACTATGCCAGGCGTCATTTACTACAGTATTTAATATGGCGTGTATAAATCTGAGAACTTATGCCTCTTTATTTAAATTATTAATCTCTTTTTCTCCTCTGAAACTTTAGTCTAAAGTCTCAACTCTAATAGTTAAACTGGAGTCATTATGATCGTAGTCTAATGAATTTTAGGTCCATAAAAAATATATATCTGCATAGATTATAATAACAAATTTAATATCATAATATTTTAATGCTTTTGGTAATCTTTTTTAATATCATAAATGTGAAAGGTCAGATGGATGTTTGTTACTCAATCACGCCAGAACGGCTAAACGGATCTAGAAATCTGAAATTTGGCACAAAGATATATTTTAGTCTGGAATAACACATATGCTACTTTTTTTTGAAAAAATGTACGGTACCCGTGGGATAGATTTATTTTGGTTTTTTCTAGAGGTAAACCCGAGTGAAGCGAGGGTGAGCCGTTAGCTATTGATAAGTTTAACTTAAATAAGCAGAACGGATTTTGACTTGACCGTTGCAGGTGAAAGTATAGTAATTTAACTGACCGTAAACATATATTTATATGACTACTAGTAAATGGCATTAATAAATATAGCTAAAAGGGCCACTGAAATAGGACTCATTACGATTTAAATGTCTTAAATATAAAGTTATTATATTTAGCTTCATAATCATAAAACTGCACAATTTAGTTCTAAGTTATTGCAAATTCAAGCTAATACAAATGTACATTGCATATATCTTTTTAACGTCTCACTGTTGGGCACAGGCGTACCCTTAATACGAGAGGTTCAAGCCCTAAAAAAGCCTCTTTCGAAAACTTGTTAGGTTCTGTCAGATATAGGTTTCTACAATGTTTTCCATTACCATAAGGTTGAATGAAAATGATTCGCACATGGCAATATCAGATGCGCCATACCCGGGATTTGAACCCGCTCACTCGCCCGCACACACTTTACATATGTACCACATTGCTACCACTGTTCATATATAAGAAAAATCTATTTTTCACTGTTCGATGATATACAGATATTATTATAGTGTAAACCAACTGTCCTGTATGCATATCTACGAGTATACATACATATACAAAAGTGAACAAAGCAATAAACGAAAAATTAATTCATCAATGATTCTGTCAGCATGAAGCTGTCAGTCGGCTATCATCCCCCATTGATTGGTAATAATTTATATTTTTTGAATGCTTTTTCATATTGTACATACCCTTTATCTGCTCTCATAAAGGCATCTGTCGATTTCAACAAGCCTGGATGAACTCGGATATTAATTTTTATTTTGTTGTTGTTTCTGTTCGGTTTAACAATAGCTTGTACATTTAGAAAAAGGAAAACTATATGGAGATAGCGGATTGAGGTTATACCAAAATTCTATAACTTAATAGATTTTATTGTAATAAACATGTATTTACGTTCACAATAATAGTGCAATATATAATAAAAAGGTCATCGAGTAATAATTTGCCTTGGCTACCATTTTACAGGTGGCACTTGTGGCAAATACGTATATGGTGACAAAATTCAAAAGCACGTCAACCCATCAAAATAGATATTAACAGAATTCATAGAAAACGTTTAAATGTTTTCCAATACTTTTATTAAATACTGTTTTGAAAGTGTATGGATGCGAGTCTATGCTTGTTACTTTTTACGATGCAAGCAAAACTACAGCCAAAATCACGTACGAAAACACATATAAAATAAGAAACTATAAACTAACTCTTGTACAGTACCAATACTTAGTATTAATTTTGTTAAAAAATGTTGTTATAATTTTAACCCTATTAATTAAAAAATTAAAAATATACAGACTATAGTGCTTGTATTTCTAAATCAATAAAGTTTGACTAAAAAATGAGTGATAAACTGACACACATTCTTGCATTTAGAATATTATTGTTAAAAATGACATTCTATAGACATATGGCGTAGTGGTGTCTTAGAAACTGTACGATGAATGTTCCAGGTTCGAACTTAACGCATATTGCTAATCTAAGTCGATTAATATGAAAGTCCGAATCGGCACCTAGCGTGCGTCTTGAGCGACAAATACACAGAATGCAATGAATCACGTATGCTCTTTGTTCAACAAGCAAAGCCTGTAGTGAAGAGCCTATGTATATTGGTAGCCTTCACGTCAATTTAGTAAAAAGTAAGATCATGTAAAAAACAATAGATATTTCATTTCATATCATTTCATTTCTATAATAAAATTTTATATATCCTTTTTTACTTTGGAACTCAATACTAATAACAATGTTTCTCACTCCCATAGGTTGACTTGAATAATTCTCTTATAGAGATAAATCTACTTTAAGCCCTTGATTTTTCTTTCTCGATTCTTATGCGTAAGAATATATATTTTAACGGACTTTCAAAAAGGAGCAGTTTTTGTGTTCCTCTGTATGTTTTTTATGTATGTTCACCAATATCTCCGAGATGGCTGAAAGAATCGCACTTTTACAAATGGGAAAGTTTTTTGACTAACATTGTAATGACAACAAAAAGCGAAATTCTAAATGAATAAAGCATATATCCTGTATTAATTTTATGTGAGCAAGCGAGTGAAGCAGTAAGTCATAACTAGTATAAGAATAATGTAAGGAAATCCTGTTATAAATTTTCTTTTTATATAGCAACAATTTTCGTTTTCCATTTTCATTCGCATTAGCATCCTTTCAATACATTTTCCCCTTTAAAGTACCTAAATTAATTAATGTTAGAGACAATTTTTAGGTTATATATTGAAAAATATAAAGATATTACCTTAACTCTATACATCTTAACAGTGAAGTTCAGCATTACTCTAAAGCTTAGCATTACTCAGACATCCATCTGATCAAGTAGTGATGTATCTTAAAGAAGAACTTTCACCTTTATGGTTAAATTTTATCTTAGTATTGTATAAGTTAGCTAATACAATATAGGCATTATTTTTACTGAGATCTCAACATTGTCACTATTATAACCAAGTTGCATGCGGAGTTTACCTTTAAGTAATTGTTACAAGAATAAAAAAAACTGTATACTGTTTATATAAATTGTGTAAACAATTGTTGGTGAACGTTAATTAAATAAATAAATAAAATTTTCGAAAAAAATATTCCGTAGTTCAGTTTCATTACATCAATCATTCTTGGACCAATTTTGATTTTCTTACATCAATGAGTTTAGGATGAGTGTTGTATGTCTCACTACTACTACTACGAATAGACTTGGTAGGTCTTAAACAAGATGTCATCCTACAATCGTCGAATAAAAAGTTAAAATAATATATGGGGATAACTTTAGATTCTATGACATATAATTAATTTAAAAAAATAACTATTTTTCAAGCATTATGGACTGTCACCTTGTTCAAGCAAGTATTACAATATTTAAGTAGACGTTATATTCGAACCCCTTAACGTCTGCCTTAATAATCAAGTACAATGAAACTTTTAACCATATCAACAAGTAAACCTACGTTCCTTATATTTGAAATCCATTCAACCATTATAGAAACTCACACCTGCACCAATTTTAACCAAATACGGTATAGTAAAATGTCCGTGTCACTATATACCTTCTTTAATGTCGGTAAGTATTCGTAACAAGAAGAAACTGGAACTAGTAAACGGTAAATTTTCAATCTCAAATATAATATTGCCACCAAACTGGCTAGCATATACGCCCTGCTTCGTCCGAGTATATTGTTACTTCATAATCAACATCGGGCTTTCGATAAGTACAAAGCAAGCAGAGTAGGTAGCTTAACATATATTTTTAGGTTGACTTATTTACATATAAACTAAACTTTAAAAATATTAAAATCCAGCAATTCTCAACTGATGGACCAAACTGTTAAAAAATCCAATAATGCATAATTTCATTACGTGCACATCTATACAATTATAATAAAATTCTGAGTCGAATCTGTACATTAAATAAGTTTTGGAAATTCTTATTGAAATAGTAATTAATATCGCTAAAGAGGTATATATAATCTATAGTTTTTAGAATTTTGTCTGTCTGTCTATCTGAGAACGCATCATGAGAAAACCACTGGACTGATACTCGGGTGATAGCTGGATATCCGGGCCAACATATAGGATACTTTTTACTACGGGAAAATATCCCATGTCTTGGGAAACTATACCATAGATCATATAATACTATACTAAACGTTAAAACGTAATAAAGGACGAACCCGAGAGGAGAGAGGGTGAGTCGCTACTCGCTGTACTGAATAAAACTTAAACAACTTTTTTTCTATATACGAGTATTGTAATATGGATATGATTAGTAACTATAATCATAAAATAAATACCAAATAAATATTTTATCTTATAGAAATTTGGTATAAATAAAACACATAATCAAAACATATTTTATTAATATATAATTTATAAAAAAATCGTCAAAATATTTTATATAAAAAAAATAGGACAATAAATACGAAGCTATCAAATTTAATCTAATCTCAATCCAGTTACTTCTTCTATCCAAGATCTTACTTTGGCCACTTTACTGTAAACTCCATAAGAACCAGGAGTAGCACAGCCATAGCCAAAGGACACCATGCCTAATAATCTATCATAAGCGACTGCGGGACCGCCGGAGTCTCCCTGAAAGTATCAAATTTAAAATTAATTTTATCAAATAAAGGAACTGAACGATTATATCTTTCTGAAATCGTTGAAGAAAGAAACCTAAAAATAAATGGGAACGATTGACTTTATGATTCTTTCCATTATAGAAGGAAATTGAGTCTAAGCCTCAATGACTGACATTGTACTCTACACTTGTTTTTTATATAACTTTTTTCTTACATAGAGCTTCCTCAAAGTCTCACTAACCCAATCTAAAAACTTCATCACGTATTAGTACATCATCACTATAAATGTTGGTAGCTACAAAAAAGGTCACGTTCATTGCCACGTTACCTGACAAGCATCTTTCTTTCCTTCCACAAATCCTGCGCAAAACATCCTAGGAGTAAGAGCGCCTCTAAAGTATGGATACGGCACTAGTTGACAATTTTCCTTCGATATAATTGGTACACGCACTGCTCGAAGCACATTTGAGTAAGGACCCTGTAACAACACCATAATTCATGCATATTTTACATACAACCTTTTCTGGCATTTACATTTAACGTCACATCATATTCAACAAAAGATGTGATCAAATACATATAATGTATATTATTAGGTACATTCAAACGTTTATTTGTTGTGCATATTGAATGATTAAATTCAAAGATAAGGCACACGTTTTGTTTAAGTACTTAATTTAGTCACAGGTGAATGAGGTCGAATCAGCAACGTCAATGTTTTTGCTTTGTAACAATTAATAGGAATTTTCGAGCTTTGAAATAACTATTTTATACAATCATTTTCATACTAAAAGGTTTTTAATAACTAAATTATAATTTTAAGTACCTATTGGTATTAAACATTTATGCATGATCAAATTTATAAGAGCAACTGTTAAGATTCTCGTTGGCGTTTTTCAGCACTGCTGTTTTACGTGTGGATGGTAATTCGTATATAAATAAACTAGCTTCACTAGCTCCTTTTAGAATAATAATATTGACAATTCAAAAATGTTTACATGTTTAGAGCTTAAAACTAAACTTATTTCATTTACTTACATTCTCTTCAGTATTCCCCCATCCAGTGACAGTGACAACTTTACCAATAACCATATCTTCTATATGCGCAATCTTCACTGGTTGAATATTTTCTCCAAATTTTAATGTTTCAGAGAGCTCCAAAAGTTGAAAATCGTAGTCAAATGGATGTTCTTTATTTTTAGATGACCAGAAAGGGTGGATAAAGTTATTCCTCACCGATATTTTCTTACCTCGATTTAAGTATTTCGACCCTACTCGTACATATGGCTTTTTACTATAAATCAAATTTATATATTTTTAGAATTACTTAACAGTTTCACGTACATATCAATATACTTAATGACTTCAATTATTTGTATTTATTTTATTTTTTTCTTCTATACATAAGTATAATAAAATTCTAACTAAATAGAATCTGTACATTAAATATGAAAAAAAAACTTATTGAAATAGTCATTATTATCGATACAGAGGACGAATCTATATTTTTAGAATTTTTGTCTGTCTGTCTGTGACCGCATCACGAGAAAACCATTGGACAGGTTTTTGATGAAATTTGGTACGATGGTGGCTGGTTATCCGGGTCAACATATAGGATACTGTACTGCGAGAAAATATCTCATCTCTGAGAAACCTATACTAAACGTTAAAATGTATACATAATGTAATATTATATAGACGGATTTGGATTAAACTTATTACACAGATAGATTATGTATTGCCAAAAGGCTCTGCTTTATAAAATATTATAAACACAAAAAACAGCTACGATTACCAGATCGAAGGTAAGTCACTAGCTATATATAAATGGTATTCGATAGTTAACGTTTTTGTTAAATATAATTATAATTACCCACAATGTCCGGCAGTTATAACCCACTTCTTATCAATGATGGCACCACCACAGTTACTGCCATACGCCACGTGGTACGGATACAAATTGATATCTACTTCGTATCCTCCAACTATTTTATCTTCACCATACTGCAAAATGTCCTGTTCTAATTTTTGATGACTGTCAGGATTTTCATTTCGGTCTTTTGTATAATCGAAACTGTCAACATCAGCGACATCTAACGCATCGTCATATGGTTCTATGTCTAACTTATGCAAATTTTCTCTGCTATTTTTTCTGTGTTCTTCCCAAGAGAACAAATCATGAATATTTTTATCTGATTCGTGTACTTTTATTACGGGTATTAGTATAAGATCGTACTCTGAAAGAGAATTTAAAATTATAAATTATATACTAGTAATATAAAAAAAATATTTTTAACAAAAAAGATCCGCCGGCTTAAACACTGTATAGACACAATAATTTTATTATTCCACCTAATCCTCGCCATAGTTTGTTAAAGAAAAAAATATTAGTTCATTTTTGGTGAAAATATCGCTTATCATATTATATGCATTAAACACATACAACCACCTCAATTAACCATATCCTCTTTTTTTGAAGTCGGAAAAGTCGAAAAAATTAATCGCTTTTAGTGAGAAAAATCACGTAACAAAAGTATCACACATTAACATATAAGCTTATACTTTACTTTTAAAATCAGCAGAATTTGCCCTGGGAAGTATAAAAAATAATAAAATTAAACTAAGCATTGTAAAAACTTAAACACTCTCGTTCATAATTTATTAAATACTAGAGTCTACTGATTTCGATAATCAATCAATTACGTTGCCATACTGAAAATAATTAGGCGTGAAATTAAAAAAAAATTTACATTGTACTTTCGAACACAATGCTGTTAATATTAAATTTTATGCGATTGACGAAATTAACTTTTTAATACTCGTTTCGTCGATGGCTCTTCTTATAGTAGAGAGGTAAAATTAAAATATTATCTTCTTATTAATAACGCGTAAGTGTTTTTGTTAGTATTTCCTTTAATAGTAGCGCCGAATCGACATGAGTAGGCTTGCATGTATTCAGCCCTTTTAAACTTCCCACTGCTGGGCTCGGGCTTCTTCAGTACCTACCTGATTACAGATAATTTATGACTCCTTGACTTCTTGCAAAAACTCACCGAAGAATGCGCAGGATGTAACTTGTAAGGTCTATGATATCTATCTCGACATCATATTTGGAAATCTCAAAAGTTATTGGATTTCGGAAGACTTTAAAAACGTGACATAAAGCACATTGTTTTTTTAGCTTTGCGTAAATTCGAATTTGTGTTAACACCATCAAAACTTTCGATTTTTGGATTTTATTCCTTGATTAGTGACTCATCCTCGCTCCGCTCAGGTTCGTCCCTAACGTTTAGTATAGATTTCTCAGAGATGAGATACTTTCCCGCAGTAAAAAGTATCCTATATGTTGACCCGGATAACCAGCTATCATCATAGCAAATTTTATCAAAATCTGTCCAGTAGTTTTCTCGTGATGCCTTCCGTGATGTGGGATAGTTGACGTTCTTTGGTAAAGGCTTTGTTAATACAGGTGTAGTAGAGCAAAATATTATAATTCTCAAAAATATGGTACAATGATTAAAGTATTTTTATCATACTGAACGCTGAATCTTCTATGATTAAATTAAACGATACTGCTGCCATCTGCTGAATATTACTGTAAGTACGTTAATAAATGTATAGTAGCGCCATCTACTATTAGATTTTCATACTATATAAACATTTTTAAGCTATTAAATTTTTTATTTTAAAATTATTTCTATTATATTGGATAAATGCTTTATAGAGTAAATAATATAAAATGCCACTAGCAAAATTTAAAAAAATGTAGTCTTATTGTTTATTTTTACTAATATCGCTATATATAGACGCGCCATCTATTGTTGAATAGCCGTAAACCAATAAATACATTTTTTTAAATGTACGTACCTATGTGTAATAATAAAATATAATATTTACTGAAATTTACAAAACAAACCATTTCGTTAATAAAAAATAAATTTAATTATATTTATTTTGCGTATCAGTAAATTCACAATAGTATTCTACTGCGCCATGACGATAAGATTAAGTAGATACTACTGAACTGCACTAAATTATTTGGCTATTAAAAAATATATGAGAATCTATTAAATAAAAGAATAAGAACTAAGAACATGTTACAAGATAATCAAATGTTAATATTTTGGTTTTAATATGAATTTTCCACTCTTTGGGAAGAGGCCATTCTCATGATTTACACATAATATTATATATTATTTGTATATATTAGGTATTCCTCTAAAATTAGAATTATTGCTCTTAGAATCAAAGAAAAATATAAAGGGATATTAATATAATATCTTGTTATTGGAATAGTATAACTCTATGAAATAAAACCTAGTAATATAATTATTCTATGCCTACTTTTAAATATTTTTACGTCAATAGGATCCTATACTAGTTCCTAAACACAGCTTTGCACTTAATTTTTTTTCCGTGAACTTATTGTCGTTACATTCGTTAGTTGAACAGCGCCATCTATTGATAAAATAAGAGATTATGTTGCAATATATAGTCAATGCAACGTATGACCTGAAAATAAAATATCATACAGGCTGGAACCATTTTTTAAAATAAAGCAATGTTTCCTTTGAGTAAAATTTGATAGCTTTAATATTTAAGGTACTTTTCTTCCATGTTCCATCCTGTATATATTTATAACTAGCGCAGGTCAGTATCCGTATCTACATTTCATTAGTAGAAATAGAATTACTATTTGCATTTATCAATAGAAAGATCAGGGCTTAGAAAAATTTTGGACGATAAAATTCAATAGCTTTTTATCTCTCATATAGCTTTATTTAAGAGATAAAAAGATTGTCAGAGCTTTTGTTTCTCACTTTCAATATGCGAGAATATTTTAAGCAGGGTACATGCACTGCTGAGTGAATCTTTAATACTCAGTCATTTAGCTAGACTTTTAGAGAGACTAGAGGAAAAATAATAATAATAATATGTGCTCTTTATTGTACACGCAAAAAGTAAGAAAAATTAGTACATACAAGAAAAATAAGGACTATGTACAAGAAACGGCCTTATCGCTAAAACAGCGATCTCCTCCAGGCAACCTTAAGGTGGTATTGGCAAACTGTAAAGGGGAAGGGGTGTGGACAATATAGCTTGTAGATAAATAAAAATGATACAACAATAATAATTCATTTTTTAAATAAATAAAAACAGTTAGTGTGCAAGGGAAAGTTGAGGGCAAAAAATCTCGTAGGGTCTGTCAAACACAGTGGTCAGACCTCATAAAATCTGTGACACACTCCAGCATAAATAATAACGCTCAAGCCGCCAAATATAGAGAATAGAGACACATGGCATCTCATCACAAGAGAAGCGGTGGCGCAAGACTCGACCGAGACACGACCATGACCACTTTGTCAAAAGTGAACGACAAAGAAGAAAATGTGCTGTAGACTGCCACTTGACTTTTTATTTTATATACACTGGTTACTGTGCGAAATTAATATTAAGCACAAAGGTCTCTATTAACGCTATAATAATATATAATAATATTTATTAAATAATTAATGTAGTAGGTAAATTTGATTACACATTTTTACAGACTTCCAAAAAACGAACTTTCGGGTGTGTTCCTTTGTATATTAGGCAATAGTATCGCTAATCTTTATTAAGGGATCCAAATTTCATTATTTCCTAAGGATCATTACGATTTAAAGATATAATATATTGATTTCCGAAAAAAATATTGCCGTAAAGGTAGAAAAAATGTATTCATACAGAATAATTACTTTTATGGCCATATACATCTATCACGCTTACATTTACATACAAACAATCCATCCATACCTTCTACAATTCAACACATATTCGTACCTAGTACTCTCTCTCTCTCTCTCTTATATAACTTTCATCACTACTCATGATATGTCCGCTGCTAATAACATGTTTATAACTTGTTACTTCTAAAAGTCCCGATCCTAATAAAGTAATATTAAAACACCAGTCATACCAAACGAGAGAGCTACACGTCCAATGGACAGGCTAGAGAGAGTATTTCACGTAAAGACTATGCACTAATAATACTAATATTTGTTTATAAATTATCATTAAGAGTTTTTTTATGTCATTATTATTAGATAAATAAAACATTCCTTTATTAGCAATAATAATGTTCTCCTGACCGATTCCGGCCTCGACGGTCAATCTCATTGAGACTAGCCAACTGCGCAGGAGATATTATGGTGCACAAGTGTATGCGCAGACACAAGTGCACTCTCTATTCCTGTCACTCTCATACTCCGGTGGGACGACTGCTCTACACGACCAGTGAGAGTTAAAGCGCAGGACCGACAGCTTTACGTGCTCTTCGAGGCACGGGGGTGAGACACCGACAACTTCCCAACTCCGGGCTGTTACTGAGGCTTACTATACAGAAAGACTCAATAACTATACTTGGCCCTACTCGACCCCAGGACCTCCAAGTGTGCAGCCGTACATGCTAGCCACTACACTAAAGAGGTAGTTTATTATAAGAGGATTTAATATTACACACTTTTTAAATGGTTGTATTATTTTCATAGTAGAACATTTTCTAATAAGATGTTTTCCAGTTAGAAAGCTTAGAAACATTTGAATTTGAATGAAAACTTTTAGATTACCTATAATTTTCTGTGTTCGTCCATAGGTTTTGTAATATACTGTTTAAGCTATTACCAAATAAAAAAGCTGTCATAGATTGATTCCAGAGTAGAACTTTGCTGACTATTCTATATAACATAAGTACTTGATTTAGCAGTAATTAGTTTAGCAATATTCATATTGAAATTAACAACGCATAAAAAACAATCGAACAAAAAGCAAAGGTGGTTTATCAAAAAAAGGTTTTAATCTAATAAAATATCCTATAATACTTATGTATTTTTTAAATTGCCTTTATGGCTACCCAAAATTTATTATTAACATCTCCAGGTAAATTTCTAAGAAATCTATTGTTAACTGTAACGCCGGCGTGTCCGCGGTCGTGGAGGGATTAATAGGTTTATTAACTCAAAATTTAATAATAGCATTCTGCATTATATGAAAGAATGGATCTATTAAAATAGAGTTTAAAAGCTCTATTCAGAACTATCAAAAGCTTCTGAAATATGCAATTTCTATGCAAAATTTCACCTCTTTAAATCGAATTCGCGTCTTATCTTAGACATCGCCAACAAAAGAATCTCCATCGATATTTCGAACAATAACTCCCCAAGTAAATAAGCTAGGGGGGATGAATATATAATGAAATTTCGCCCTTGCCGTCCGTTAATCAAAAACTGCTGCAGAGCGGGTTGGAAAGACGTAAGAAAATGGAAATTTTCCTACCCTCCTTTTTCCTGTTTACCCCCGCAAGCCTCCTAGAGGTCGGACACCACCCCCTTGAGGTATAACACTATGGAAAACACTTATTACACTCAAAAGAAACAAATTACATTTATTAAGATTAAGACTTAGACATTAAGGTGTGATGTTAGTATAATTAATATTCTTCAAGTCATTATGAGGGAAATCGATTGACAATATACCTACACACTAGCTTATAATATATTTTATATGTTGAAATAACTAATATAACAAGATAAATATTTATTAAAAGAATGAAATTATATTGGCCTTTTTATAATTTGATGAATTATAATTGTAAACAAACAAATTGAACTTAATTAAATGATTTTGTTGATAAAATATGTTTCCTGAATGTGTCATTTCATTTAATCATAACATTTTTTATAATAATGATGATTGTTTATTACCGACGTCAAATTTACTTAAAAAATATTTATTCAGGTGAAAAAAAACTGATACGAAATAAGGTAAACCCTTATTTAACTAAGACTGATTTGAGGCATGACCAATCATAATATAGTCATAATAAATATTTTCAATTAAAAAATCAATTACTTAAATTCTTCAAAACCCGACGAATGTATCAGGTAACATCCGCAAAATTAAAAAAAAAACACAACTTATTTATGTAGAGGGTGTCCTGCTATAAGAAGTGATAAGGCTATCACTTAACCTGATAATCCATAAATAAAAACATCTATATACAAGTAAATTATACATATATTCTACGTATATACAGATATATAATATAAAAATCCGTCTCTACACTAACCAACCGCCCCCTGCCTGCATTACGCCGCCAGCCGAATGCAAATTTTATAACGCGACGCCCGTTTTCTTATAGGCATTGTCGTAAACCCGTCCGTGCTTGCCTCGGTCATTTGTTCTGATTGTATTTCTATACTATACTTTAATACGCCTTTATATGAGTCTATTAGAGGTGCTTCGTTTAATTTATATATAATCGGATTTAGTCGAGAAACTATTTAATATTCAGAAATTATTTTTAACATTTTTTAAAGGAAAGACGTATACCAACGTACTCAGAGGTTGATTTATTAAAACTCAATAAATACTACATATATATTAATTGATACAAAAAAATTGATTTACAATTTGCGAAGAAATCGCATAAAATACATACAAAAATAAAAATTAAAATTCAAACAAATTGAGTACCTTCTCTTTTTGAAGTTGGCCAAATTTAAAGTTAATATCATACTTCGTAAACTAAAAGGCGTAAAAAATACGTCTTACGTCGACTAAATGATAGTCTTATCTCTACCGTTAATCTTACTTCGGATACTGAAGAATGGCTATGGAATCTACAATTTTAATAAAATCTAGAAAAGTTCTAGTAAAATAAGTAAATATGGTATCGATATAATTTGGTAAATATGTAAGGTACAACATTTTTTTTGTGTTTTACCCAGTAGGAACTTTTACAACGTCAAACGATCATAGGCATGAATATTCTATACAGATAAATAGAATTAAAGTGTCTTGTTTGTAATGTTAAAATAACAGCGTTTTACTAAATTCATATGAAATTATATACGGTACTTATAAGAAAAACACAATTTTTAAAAAAAATTGTTTATCTGTTTGTTCCGCAACATCTCTGAAACGGCTGGACTGATTTAACGGGACTTTGACTGGAAGATAGCTGATGTTATAGGGAGTAACATAGGCTACTTTTATCTTAGAATAAGAATTAGAGTTCCGCTCAAAAAAATAAAATGTACCTAGGGACGTCCCCGAGGGAAGCGAGGATGAGTCGCTAGTGTATTTATAAATAGATTCATTCAAGAAAATAGAGGTGAAACTAAGTTTAACATTCATGTTATTATTAGGCAGATATTCGAAAATTATAATAATTAATATTATATTAAATTATTATGAGAGACCCCATACAATTATATATATACAAATAACAAAAAATGCAGGTATTATTATTACTTATAATTTACTTCATCATTCAATACTGCTTTTTATGCATGGTATATAAGTAAAAACATCACATACCTACATCTCTAACCGCTAACGTACCTATGTACGTTTGCTAAAGTATGTATATGTAAGCTCTCCATAAAATATACTGTGATCATTAATTCTTGATCATCACCATCAACTGGACCCATCTGTTCCATAAGTCATATATCTGTAAGTAAAGCCAAGTGAAGCACATTTTTGCCTACCTGCCTCCCCAAGATAAGTGTAATAAAAGTTACTTAATGCGAAAACTTGGTAATGCTATCGGTACGTGATCTCGTCTTTTCGTTGAATCGTTCTAACTAATGTTTTTCGATTTTCGAGCTTCGACTTTTGGTCACAAAAACTTTAATTGTACGATGAAAGTAAAAAGCAACTATTGGAATTAGATAGTGAATTTAATTTCTGATAGAGAATTATGTGGGGCTAGCTGCTTACCCTTGCTTTGCTCGGGTTCATCTTTGGATTAAGCTTTTGACTTGATAAAAAACATTAACTTTTGTTTGTATGTTCGTATGTACATATGTATCTATTTATATATGTATGTATGTATACATATATGTATACATTCATCTTTTGGCCAACGATCAGTGTTACATTTTGATAAATATTACTTAGTAATACAGCCCACGTGTCACTCAAGGTACTGTCTACTTGTGCCTCCCTGTACCTTGTGTGTTCTAGTCCATCTGTTTGCTAAAGATACAAATCTGTCCAGCTTTTCCAGCGTGAAAGAGTAAGATTTATTTTTTTAATTATAAATCCCAGTAAAACCGTAATATGCACAAATTTTGCAATAAAAATAGTAGTGGGCCAAATAAGGAATTTCCAATAAATTATTATTAAAGTAATTTTTCTCATTTTAGTAACTCGACGATGATTTTATCTTGTCTTATCTCTATATTATTTGCTAGTGGCGCTATCTAAAGCACGATTAGTCTAAGGTACTATATAGATTTTATAAAATTTATTTAAACAGCAGAGCCTATTCAAATAAATTTTACAAAGTCTATATTAGGACTTCCGAAACTCCACTCATTACTGACACGAGTAATATTACGATAACGTCATTCCTTCTTTGGAAAAGCAATAAGAAAGTCAACCTTATTATTTTCTATACAGAATTTTGTTTTTTTCTACTTTCTTTCTCTTCCCTTCTTTTCTAAAACACAGTCCGACCAAAATTCAAAATCAAATAAGATAATTTAAAGTAGTAACGTCGAGACAGCGAAGTGCTCAACGAATTCTTTAAAGCATTAGCTCTAAGGGATTATCAGCTCTACAGCTTTTATATGATAGGTACCTTTATATTCTTATACTAGGACTCAGCCTCGCTTCGCTCGGGTTCGTCCCTAGGTGATTATTTAAATTGACATAACATTTTTTATTTATGAACTGATTGAAATAAAACAAATACTACTGTTACGTGAAACTTACCGTAATATATAAGTGAAAACCGCACCTAAATCAGCTAAACCATTTCTGAGATTAGCGCGCACAAACGCACAGACAAACAGACAAATCTAAATTCTTAAAATCATTGTTTTAGGTTCTATTATGTTAATAAAGACCCTCAATAGTTTTTCTCAAATATCTTCTATGTACATACTATGATCATTTACAATTTTATTATATGTATGTAGAATAGAAGATACTTATATCAAAATAATATATGTCTTTTTTTAATTCTTGTAGTTTAAAATATACATTTAAATATTGGTATATTAATTAAATAATTGTTACAAATTTACAAATATTGTCTCTACAATCTACATTTATTTTGGGTAGGTAAAGCAATATCTCAAATATTATTTTCATTAGGTCGAATTGCCTGCTGTCAAACATTTTGGAAAACTCATCGAATTTCTGAATATTAAAAACAATAATTAAATAAATAAAACAAACAGAAATCAGAATTTACTTTATTTACAAATTATTTAAAATCTACGTATCTTCGAAATTTAGGTATGTTCTTTTATCTGTAACAAAGAAAAAGATTATTAGAATAATAAAATCAAACTAAATTCATAAATGGGTATCATCTTGTACCTACTTATATCAAGAACGTCTGAACTAATTTTGATTGGATTATTTCTAGCAAATAGAGTAAAAGTAAAAGCATTTTTGTAAAGTCATATATATCACGCAAGTGGTGCTGCGGTCGTGACTAATATTATAATCACAGTAAATCATGCCGATACGTTTGGCTCAGTTTGTAGTGAGCCTACTTGCGGTGCCAGTGGTCGCAGGTTCGAGTGTCGCTGGGGGCATTTATTTTGTGTAATGAGCACGAATGTTTGTACTCCAAACATAAGTGATTATATTTATAATAATGTATGTATTTGAAGTTATATATGTGTAGTGTATCAACTATCTGTTATCCCTTACATAAGCTTCGTAGCTTCGTACCATGTGTTAGAATCATATCATAATTTACACAAGATTATTGTTTAGTTATTCCATATGTATGATGTTTTAAAATATTCGTCAATTATAAATTCATTATTGTTTAAATTTATTATTATTTTAATATAATGAGATTACACATAGAAACTTAGAATAATTTAATTAATATTTTCAAATATTGTACTAACGCGCGCACTAATTCCGGCTGACAACTTCCTTTATTTGTTTGTTCCGGTAAAAAGGGTTGGAGGGAGGTAGCGCGCGCGCAGTGGACAGTTGATTGTCGACTGTTGAGTTGAATAGACTAGATTTGTGAAATTTCATCAATATGTAAGTATAATAAATTGATTTAATTGTGGAAAAGTGTTTTAATTACTTGAGCTCTCACAGCTCAGAAGTGGGATATAATCGTGATAGCGATTAATATCGTCCACGGTGAAAGGACTTGCCGCCCATGCAACTGTACCGATAATTTCTTTTGTTTTTTTTTTTAGTGCAATCAGTTTAGAAGGAACTTAATTATTTTAAATATTGTATTGTAACAACTACTGGTGATCCCAATATTAAAAAAAATATATTCTGACTAAGTTACATAAGTTTTATATATGAGTGTGTGTGTGTGTGTTTTTTTTTTGTTTTCTGTTTTCCTTAACGTCATTAGTGCCATATCCCTAGTTTATTTTGTCTGTTGCATTATGAACCTATATTATACATCATGAACTAAGATAATGCTCTAAAGGAATCAACCTTACCTAACCCTTTATAATAAGTCTAAGAATAGCTGCTTTTGTGATTTCTTATAATTTTCAGTAAACAATGGGCCGGAAAAGAAAGTCCACTCGACGTATGAGGGAGTCTGATGATTCAGAGCATAGTGAATCAGGTTCACTAGTGCGAAGAAGGCATAAGTCGCGACGACGCTATAACAAGTCGCAAACTCGTGATTCATCGAGTGGCTCTGATGTACCGCGACACTGTAGAGTATCAAAGAAGCGCCGTAGATCCAGGAGGTGTTCTGAAACGCCTCAAAGGCGTACTGTACCGCGGGGTCATAATGGTACCCCGGATCCTGGCACAACTCAAAGGCGTAATGTATCACGGGGCCGTGATGTTACTCGAGATCCTGGCACGCCTCCAAGGCGTGATGTATTGCGAAACCATGAAGAGTATCAAAATCCTGAGGAGCTGCAAAGTACACACCTTCTTCAAAATGAATATGCAGCGGGGACGTCACAGCCTGCTACTATACCAGCAGTAACACCAACCGTGAGTGCACCTCAAATTAATGTTAGTACTGACTTTAATGCTAACGTTTTAGCCTTGGCCTTCAAGGAGCTTATTCAGACCATGAAAACAGATGGGGGTAATGAACGTTATCCGGTTATGAATGTTATTCCAGAGTTTGACCCTTCCAAGCGCAATCAAACTATTGAAACTTGGTTATTAAAGGTTAATGAGTGTGCCGAAATTTACAATTGGACTGAGAGACAAATAATTCATTACGCTCTCCCAAAATTATCAGGTTTGGCACAAAAATGGTACCAAGGTCTACCTAGTTTACTGTTTTCATGGACGGAATGGCAGAATAAGTTGAAAATGGCGTTTCCAAGTGATGAAAATTATGGACAATTGCTAACAGATATGCTTGCCTGCAGGGCTAGATTTGGCGACTCGTTAGAAGAATATTTTTATCAAAAGATGGTATTGTTAAATCGTTGTAATATAGTTGGTAAAAATGCTATAGATTGCATTCTGTTTGGAATAGATGATAGATCAGTAAGAACTAGTGCAGAAGCAACACAATTCACAGAACCTGATAAACTATTAGTCTATTTAAGGAATGTACGATTAACTAGGAAGCCTGAGAAGCCAAGTCCATCCATGCAAGCAGGTAATAATGAGAATAAACAATCCCGATCGTTCAAGTCTAATCAGAATACGTCTGACGTTAAAAATAACAGATCTTATAGGCTCACTAAATGTTATAATTGTAAGGAAGAAGGACATCCATATTTTCTTTGTAAGAAACCAATCATACGCTGCGAGAGTTGCCATAGAATTGGTCATGTATCTAATAATTGTCCGGGAAAAACTGACTCCAAAGCCAACGAAAGCAATAGTAAAACAGTTTTACGTATTTCTAAACAACAAGATAACGAATCGAAATATTTCAAAGTTGCCAAAGTTAATGGTCAAAATCTTGATTGCTACGTTGATTTTGGAAGCCAATGTACCATGTTAAGAGAATCTTTTGCAAGAAATTTTGTCAGTACTTGGTCAGTATCAGAATTACCAGTTATAAGAGGATTTGGAGATAGTATAGTGAATTGTTTAGGCAAATTTGTTGTTGAACTAGAGATAGATTCGGTCAAAGCTTCCGTAGAGGTACTTATCGTACCAGACCATCTATTACAAGTACCTTTGTTAGTTGGGCAAACATTTACGGAGCAGGAACACATAGTTGTTTATAAAAACAAAAATCAATTGAAAATATCCACTTACCCAACAACCAGTGTTCAATTGTATGTTAAAAATTCAGTAACGGTAAAAGGATTTACTGTCTTAGATGTTTATTCTAAACCAGATTACACAGGTGACTTATTTATTGAACCGAGTCTTTGCCAAGACCCCCAAAACCCGTACGAAATCTCACAGAGCATAATTCGCGTAACTAATAGTCATGGTAATATTGTTATAAAGGGACTTGACCCTGAGTTTGTTTTAACGAAAGATATGTTGTTGCTTCGAGCATTGCCTTTAACTGAATTGAAATTTGAGTCGCTAAATGTTAGTAAAATTGAACACTGCCCTGATAATAATAATATATTCAGAATCGAAGCAGAGGCTATACAAGTGGATAATTCAATTGGTCCTGATAACGTATTTAAATTGACTGAGTTATTGAACAATTTTAGGGATTGTTTTGCTTTCTCAAGTAAAGAATTAGGATGCATAACTGGTACCGAGATGAATATTAAACTTAATGACACCACACCTGTGGTTTATAGACCGTATCGATTGTCTCATTTAGAGCGTCACGTAGTTCGCGATATTATACAAGATTTAGAAAATTCGAATATAATTAGAGAATCATCTTCTGATTATGCTTCACCAATAGTTCTCGTACGTAAAAAGACTGGCGACTATCGCCTTTGTATTGACTTTAGAGCACTTAATAAAAAGACGATCAAAGAACACTACCCCCTACCACTTATAGAAGACCAATTAGATAGTCTCTCAGGTTATAGATATTATACTTCTTTGGATCTTGCTTCTGGATATTACCAGATCCCATTGGCTGAAACATCCAAACGTTATACAGCATTCGTAACGCCTGATGGGCATTATGAGTTCAACCGCATGCCGTTTGGACTCGTAAATGCTCCGTCCACATTTCAAAGGACTATTAATAGTATTTTGGGGAATGCAAGATTCAAAGAAGCATTTGCATACATGGATGATGTCATTGTACCTTCTAAAACTATAGACGAGGGATTACAGAAACTTCATGATATTTTAAATTTGTTTCGCTCTTCCGGTATAACTCTCAATCTGTCAAAATGTAATTTCTTGAAACAATCTATAGATTACTTAGGCTTTGAAGTCACTGAATCAGGTATTAAACCGGGAAAGAAAAAAATTGAAGCAGTGGATAACTTTCCTAGACCTACAGATCAACACAAAGTCAGACAGTTTTTGGGTCTAGCTAGTTTTTTCCGAAGATTTATTAAAGGGTTCTCAATTATTGCAAAACCATTGACGCAACTTCTTAAGAAAGATGCTAAATGGAAATGGGGTGACGTAGAAGAATTAGCATTTTTAACATTGAAAGACGAATTAGTCAAACGCCCTATTCTTTCTTTTTATAATCCTGAGTACGAAACCCAATTACATACAGACGCTTCTAAGATTGGAGTTGCCGGAATAATAATGCAAAGACCTAATAAAGAATCCCCATTCAGCGCTGTAGCATTTTATAGTAGACAAACTTCCCCCGAAGAATCCAAACTTACCTCCTATGATTTGGAAACGTTGGCTGTCGTGAACTCGCTACAGCGGTTCAGAGTATATCTTTTGGGAATTCCTTTTACCATAGTTACAGACTGCAACTCTCTTCGTGCAACTTTTGAGAAAAGAGACACAATACCTAGAGTTGCGCGATGGTGGAATGTTATCCAGGAATTTGATTTTAATATTATTTATAAGCCTGGCACAGCTATGACACACGTAGATGCCCTTAGTCGTAATCCCATCTCTTCACATTCAGTAGAATTACATGTAGGACATGTTGATACTGATTGGGTAGCTACGGTACAACAAAACGATCCCGAATTACAACGAATAATTTCAATCTTAAAGGATACTGAAAACGATAATGTTATAGAGATCAAAAATAATTTTATAATAAAAAGAGGATTATTATATAGGAAAACTGAAGACGGGGATCGTTGGGTTGTACCGAAAGGAGTCCGATGGCAGGTATTGAAATCAAACCATGACGAGATCGGACACTTTGGTTTTGATAAGACTTTAGAGATAATTAAAAATAAGTACTGGTTTCCTAAAATGAGAAGATTTATAAAAAAGTATGTACAATCGTGTCTAGAGTGTGCTCATGCTAAAGTACCATCTGGGAAAAGAGCAGGAAAATTGCATCCTATCGAAAAAGTAGATAAACCTTTTCACACTCTACACATAGATCATCTAGGTCCTTTTGTCCGTAGCAAGCGCAGAAATGCTTATTTATTGTTAATTATAGATGCATTTACGAAATTTGTCATACTTGTGCCAGTTAAAAGTACTAAATCTATTCATTCCATCGCCGCAATGAAAAACTATTTTCACACCTTCAGTGTACCGAAAAGATTAATCTCTGATCGCGGAACGTCATTTACGTCTAAGAACTTCCAAGATTATCTAAATTCATTAGGTATAAAGCATATCATGAACGCTGTAGCGACGCCGCGGGCCAACGGCCAAGTCGAGCGGTATAATCGAACAGTTTTAGCAGCACTTACAGCTACAAATCATAGCAAGCCCGATAACTTGTGGGACGAATGTGTATCTGAAATTCAATGGGGACTGAATAATACTCAGAATAAGGGTACGGGAAAGAGCCCCGCACAGGCATTATTTGGTCTGGACTTGGTAGGTACGTCAGGCTCTTTATTGCAACTTAGTGTTACAGATAGTGCTGATAATGTTGATACTCCTATAGAAGACATAAGGAGAGAGATGACAGAGCAAATAAGAGACAATCAAGATAAACAAAAGCAACGGTTTGACAAAATTAGGAAGGAAGTTACATATAATATAGGTGACCTAGTCAGAATAGAAAGAGAAATTTCATCAACCGGTAACAGTAGAAAATTAATCCCAAAACTTAGAGGTCCGTATCGTATAAAAGAAGTTTTAGATAATGATCGTTATGTTGTTGAAGATACGCCATTATCCAGGAAGGGTAACAGAAATTTTAGTAGCATTTTCTCTGTAGACAAAATTCACCCTTGGATGGTTTTTAATAGAGCAGACACAGAGTCTGAAACTTCAAATAATGATGATGCTGACGAGTTAGAAGTAAGATAAGATGTTAAGGATATGTCTGAGGCCTTAATATTTTAATTAACGTTGTCGAGTATTATAAGTGGCCTGACTGGGAATATGTCTGAGGTCTCAGTTAGGACAGATATTATGGACATGTATGGGGCCTTAATATCTTAGCGTTAGAGTTAACTAACAAGTGGCTTGACTGAGAATAAGTCTGAGGTCTCAGTTAGGACAGATATTGAGGATATGTACGAGGCCTTAATATCTTATCATTGAAATGATTATTCTAGTGAACATCTATCAGTTAAGATTTGTTCGTCATCAATATGATTGGTTATGAATATGATTTTTGTTATATTTTATAAATGTTATAATCTATCACAAATACCGAACCAAATTGTTTTCCCGGGACGGGAAATTTATCAGGAAAGGCCGACTGTTAGAATCATATCATAATTTACACAAGATTATTGTTTAGTTATTCCATATGTATGATGTTTTAAAATATTCGTCAATTATAAATTCATTATTGTTTAAATTTATTATTATTTTAATATAATGAGATTACACATAGAAACTTAGAATAATTTAATTAATATTTTCAAATATTGTACTAACGCGCGCACTACTTCCGGCTGACAACTTCCTTTATTTGTTTGTTCCGGTAAAAAGGGTTGGAGGGAGGTAGCGCGCGCGCAGTGGACAGTTGATTGTCGACTGTTGAGTTGAATAGACTAGATTTGTGAAATTTCATCAATATGTAAGTATAATAAATTGATTTAATTGTGGAAAAGTGTTTTAATTACTTGAGCTCTCACACATGGAACTAGACGGTGCTGTGTGTTAATGTCCCAACATATTTATTACTTATTTAAATGTGAAAGTTTGTATGTTTGTGTATGTTTGTTACTCCTTTACGTTGAAACGGCTAAACAGATTTGGATGTAATTTAGTACACAGATAGAGTTTGGCCTGGAATAAAGCATATGGGTTGTAACCTCGGGACTTAGAAGCAAAGCAAGGGCAAGTCACTAGTAAAAAATAAAAGCTGAAAAGAATTGAATTTTTAAGTATATTGCACACGAACAAAGAAAATAGCAAAATGATAATATAAAATCTGCGTCGCTACGAATATCCGGCGGGATCGGTCCACTATCAGGTGACTTTTAATTTCCATGCAAATGTAAGACTTCATTCACGCTTAATCTACGGGCTTTGCGCCAACTTAATGAAGATTCGCTTTAGTTCTTCTCGCTTTTATAATTTATTTAAAATATTTTATATAAAAGTAGATAGATATAAAAAATAGTTTATCTGTTTGTCAGTGGTTTTACTGGTTAACGTACTATACAATACTGAGTACATAATACATATGTATTTAACGACCAATATCACATTTTTGAGAAAATCTCCAGCCATTTTAGGTGTTATTTATTGTATCATTGTATCAAATGTAATAAAATATTATAATCTACGCCAGTTTTTTTTAAACACTAGTCTTTTTTTAATGGCATTTAATATCAAATCATATTACAAGTAATATATAGAATTACTTATGTAAATTTTCCATGAAAAAAATATGATAAAAATTCAGACTTTCGAATAATCTGTTAGTAACAATAATATTATAACTGAATAGTAAATAATACCAAATCTCGTAAGTCGAACAATTCCCTTCACCGATGAACCAAAATCAAAACAAAACGAAACAAGGAAATTTCAAGTCTTGAGGTATTCGCGAAAAGATATTCGGCAGAATTAAAACAACACTTGGAGAGAAAAGTGCCCCCCAAGCCCGCCTACAGGGGGGCAAGCAAGATGGCTCCTATAGGGTGGACGTCGGATAAAAGTGTACCTTGGGGTGGGGGCATTCGATTTGCTGCGAAATTTTAATTGGTTGGTAGAGCGTTTTTTCTGTTTTTAGATGTAGAGTTCGGAGGGGACGTAGTTTTGAGATGTTAGGGTGAAAGTATAGGTTTTTAATATTTAATTTTATAGTTACAGTTATTTTGTTAATTTTAAACAGTTATTTTTTTCTTATTACGTAATTAATTTTTATTATGGTTGATGCCAAATGTTAATAGAAAAACCAGTTTACGTTTTTCAATGTAGAGCTAAAAAAATTTTTAATTTATATTTTTAAAATATTTAGAACTAAATTGTTAGTCGAATTTTGAATTTATAGTATTATAAAATATTTTAATTGACAATTTGCCATTTTTATCACAAAAAAAAGGAAAGGAATAAACATGAAATAAAAGTGTTATCTTTTTTTATGAATAATTTCTAGATTTGTTTAGAAAGTATCGTTTTATTTTAAGTTGTTTCCATAGTCTTCTTATTATGGGTATATAAAAGGCTAGTAATACAAACATGCACTTCTAAAGATTAATACTTAGAAAGATTACACCAATTGCGGTTTAGACATAATTTCAATCAACTATAATTTTATAATATAACGAATGATATAATATTTTCTTAATAATTTTCCAAATGTTTGTACACTATAAGACATATGTATCTACGAAAATGTGATGAATAAAAAGATAATCATTTCGTCTCATAAAGCATAATCGCATTGCGCTATGACTATCTATATAGTAAGAACGTATTTTTGGAACAAAATAAATAATAAATTAAATACATATATATGGACATTAACTCACAGCACCGTCTAGTTCCATGGTAAGCTACGAGTCTTGTGTTATAATTACCAGGTAGTTGATACACTACACATATTATATCAGTTTAAATACATATATATTATACATATAAATACTCATGACTGGAGTACAAACATTCGTGCTAATCACACAAATGAATGCCCCCAACGGGACTCGAACCCGCGACTGCTGGCACAGCAAGTAATGTGTCTACAAACTTAGCCAAACGTTTCGTCGAAAAATGTTGTCTAATCTTAAGAAATTCTTTCTCTTAATCCTTAAAGAAACTTTTCAAAACATTATTCCTAGGAAACTTAGACAAACTTCAATACACATGTGGTCCTTTTAGTGTTATGCTAAAACGAACTGTAAACTATAGTTTTAAAGATGAATTTCGTCTAAGCAACATGTTAACCTTCACATATGAATGGGTTAACGTACGTTGATTCACGTGAAGGCTTCGAAATAAGGTCACGGGGATACTAAATCTATATATAAACAAACGGTATGTAGGTTAGTTCGGGAGATCTAAATAAATATTAAATAATCTATGTTCAGAAAAGCTATTTTTAAATGTAAACATAGCAATTTACTTACTGTATGTATTTGCTTTTTACATATTAAGAATTAAATAAAATCGTAAATATAGTATAAGGACGATTCATATCTTAAATTATCTGCTAAAGTGTACGATAGCAATCTTTTTTGTTACAATGAAATCACGTGAAGAATTGATACTATAGTACTTTAAAAAATACTTTAAAAAAATCTTAGCATTTTATTTTATTTTTTAAATAATCTAAATTAAAAAAAAACCTCTGTTTAATTATGTTTACTAAAAATATCTGTATTTATTTCTATTATTTACTAATAATAAATATACACCTAACGTCGAGCGAATCCACACTATAAAGCTACAAATTCATAAAATCATGATAATATATTTTATTTATTAAGGAAAATTTTTTAAAATATATTTTATAAACTCCAACGTGACATCTGAAGATGACTCTTGCTTTTTATTTCGCTATAATTTCGAAAGCATAATTAATCGCCCGCCGCCCGCCCTAATTGAATCACTCCCTCCCCAGGAAAAACAACCCTTTCTTATTTTTCCTTGTCCCCCTTGCAAGACGATAAATCCTCGGAAGAGACAGTGGGAGTCTTTTTTCATTTTACAGATGACCTAAATTCAATAAACTTTATCACAAAGCATTAAAGTTTATTTTCCTATAATTTTTCTGACTTGCCAGTAAAGATAAGTTGGTTTTTTAAACAAGAAAAACCCTCCACAATTCGTCATTGGAATTCCGCGGGCGTATAATAGCGCTCTCATTTTGAAATCGCGGCGTTCATATTTTAGATAATTTTTTACCTGGATTTTGATTAATTACAATACTTTGTTCAAATGAAATAGAACTCATTTATTTTCAGATGCGAATACTTTACAAATTGCGTTATTTGCCATAATCTGATCATAATCGTGAGCTATCCCAAAATGTTCGAAATATCACATTCAAAAATCAAATATCATTTAAAAAAATACGTAAGCAACTTAGGTATTTTTTTAAATGAGCTTGATAAGTTTTATTTCATATAGTATGTAGTTTTATATACAAGTTTAGTACTTTCTTTTATCATAATTTTGTATTATTATAATTTTTTAGCTTTAATATAAATTGAATGTTTCACAGATTCATTAGTGCCGAAATATTGGGAGTTCAATATCAAATAATTCGCAAAATTTCATAAGAATAACTGTAAAAGTTATTATTATTCTATCTTAAGGGATGATTTTTTTAAATTTGTATACGACTACCGATGAAGTAAAACCAATTAATTTATAATTTAGAAAGGAATTATGAATAATTAACTACTTAATTATATTAAATTGAATAAATTTATTAAGTTTTAAAAGTAATTTACTTTAACATGTATTTTATATCAGTGCATGAAAGATAAAACCTAATGATTTCATTTAAAAATATAATCATACCCCTTTTTATTTTAAATTCAAACCATAAATACCCATAGAATATAAATATAAAAATACCTACCCTAAAAAGTTAATAATAATAAGAAACAAACCTACCGAGACGTACCTCCCTCGACTAAGGGGTTTCGTTTTTTAGGGGTCCATTGCCCCCTAAAACATCACCACTCACATCAGAACTCTTGGCCCCCAGTTGTTTTGTCTATATACTTTTAACTGCTGAAGGAATCTTAAGAAGGGTAGGTCAAGTTAAAATTGACGCCTTTAGGGGGAAAAGAAGAAATAAATGCACACCTCCTATTTTAAATTGCTAAGACGAGGGCTTTCTGTATTTAAAAGTTTTCATTTGATTTTTCTTTTTATGTATTGGGCTGAATTTA